CATGAGGAAGTCTCAGTTACTCAACCAGTTACTCGACCTTTGAGACCCTAAATGTTTACCCTCCCAACCCTGAGGCCCTAGTGGGTGGTGCTTGATACAATCCTCAGCACTAACCCTTTCACACCCTCACATCGCTCCCATTCCCACCAGCCCCACCCTGGGAGCTCTCCCATCCCAGGAACAGGTCGGGCATTCAGATGCTAACTGCACATGGAGCAGTATTGATTTTACTGCCACACAAACAGCTCCAATCAGTTCAATGTCCAACATCCTGTGAAAAATTCCTGACTCTCTGGCATAGCTACCAGGCCATCCACAGAAATATAAAACAATTAAAGCAGATTTGAAGCTAAACTCAGAGGCTTGACGGCTAAGGGTGAAACATGCAGATCTCTCAAGCTTTGGAAATTAAAGAATCAGTGACATTTGTCAGATCAATGAGAGAGAGATGTATGTGCAGGTGTATAACAGAAATACCTGCTGTGGACCAGTAACGTTGAGGAGATCTTTCACAGAGAGGCCTCTGTCCTAGCTAGGCCCAGAGTTAGGCCCCGTCCCAAGGCCTCAGGCTTTTGGGTCTTACAGGAGAAATAAAAGGCACAGGAAGCAAACTAGGAACACGGTACTATTGGTGAAAGTGAGGAGTTAAAATAATCCCAGGAATGGGATTTCACATTCGAGCCAGAAAGGGCTGGAAAGTACTGTGAAGAATCGTATAATACGTTTTCTTTTCTTCAGGGTGCGATGAGGCTGTGTTAGTTACTGGTTTAGTAAGAATTCAAGTTGAATTTGTCTCTGGAGAATTACGTAAGGAAACAAAACAGAGCGGGTGATAAAGTAGATATAGCTTTGCGATTTTACACCATTACTTCATCCTGACTGTGCAGAACCAAACGTTAAACCAACAGGACCGCACAGTCATGTGGAACATGTCTGTGAACAACTGGGATAGGAGGTGTAACCTACAACAAGTACAGACTGCATTTACATGGCTTCCTTTAACATGTAGTAAAATATTCCAAGATGCTTTACAGAATTGTAATCAGACAACATACTCTCAATCACAGGAAAGTCCTCTCTATACTCAGTACGGTGTATGTAATACAGTAACCCCTCTTTGTCAGATTGAGACAGAGTGAGAGGCAGAGAGAGTGTGTGTGTGAGAGAGAGACAGACACAGAGAGACAGAGAGAGAGACAGACAGAGAGAGAGGGACAGAGAGAGAGATAGAGGTAGAGAGAGAGACAGACAGAGTGAGACAGAGAGAGAGACAGAGTGAGACAGAGAGAGAGACAGACAGAGAGAGACAGAGGAAGAGAGATAATTTGGAAGTTAAGATTTCCCCATAATACCCACGTGACATCAAAACTCAGACAGTTCTCAGATGGATTGATTTGTGAAGACCCAATGTCAAGAAGACGAAGCTATTATAACCCAACCGCCTCCACCTGTAGATCTCTTACATTTCAACACCTCAGATTTAACATTCTCATCCTCATGTTCAAATTCCTCCATGGCCTCCATCCCTCCCTTCGTGACCTCCTCCAGGCCCACAACTCTCCTCCAATACTGGCCTTTTGCCCAGCCTCTACTCCCTTCGGCCCATCGTTGATGGCCATTCCTGTACTATAATGAGAACACAAAAATTAATCATGTGATGTATACGATGATGCAACTGTAATTTTAGCAGTCACCATGGAGACAGGGGCTGGTGTCATGCTGATGTCACCAGACTAGTAATCCAGAGTCCCACACTAACGTTCTGAGGACCTGGGTTCAAATCCCACTACGGCAGATGGTGAAATCGGAATTCAATAAAAATCTGCAACACAGATATAGGAAAACAGGAGTAGGCCATTTGGCCCTTCGAGCCTGCTCTGCCATTCAATACGATCATGGCTGACCATCCAACTCAGTCTCCTGTTCCTGTTTTCTCCCTGTATCCTTTCATGCCGTTAGCTCTAAGAACTGTATCTTCTTGAAAACATTCAATGTTTTGGCTTCAACTACTTTCTATAATTCCACAGGGTCACCACTCTCTGGGTGAAGAAATGTCTCTTCATCTCAGCTCTAAATGCCCTACTCCATATCCTTAAACAGTGACCCTGGGACAAACTCTAGCCTAATAGCAACCATAAATGCCCACCTAATTCACCAATGCCCTTTAAGGGAAGGGGAATCTGCTGTCCTTACCCAGTCTGGCCTACATGCGACTCCAAACCCACAGCGATACGGCTGTTTCTTAACTTCCCTCGGAAATGGCCAAGTAAACTGCTCAAGGTGAAGACAGTTAGGGATGGGTGACAAATATTGGCTCAGTCAATGACCCTCTTGTGAACTAATAATAAAACATAAGACATGCTATTGAGACTCTGAGAAGAGACGGTGGAACAATGGTATGAAACAGCTGGAAAACTGCAACACCTCTCTGTAAACGAAGGAGTTTGGTTGGAGACCCCATGGTCAGACCGAGAGATGGAAAGGCTTAGAGTAGGGGCTGTCTAGTCACAGATAGCAACGCCTACAGCTCAGGACTGACCCCCAATGTGCAGACCTCATGGGAAGAACATCCATGGGGTCAAAGCCACTCAGGTATCCCTGGAGGTCAACCGATCCCTGGGGTCAGCTCATAGCAATGCCTTTACCTGTCTCTGCTCAAAAACACTGCAAGACTCCCCTGTTACTTCACCATCCTCCTCAAACACGTCCCAGAAAACCCTTCTTAAAACCAACCTCCTCTGTCTAAGTCAACCCTCCCCTACATACCGTATCCTCAGGCTCATTGTCCGAGTGTCTGATCACAAGCCTGCAAAGCACCTTGGGGGTTAATGGAGCTATGAAAATGCGCATTACCAGAAAGGCAAGTGGGGGCGGGTAAGCCTCAGAATTTTTCACAGCGCATGCATACAGAGACCTTGAAAGGCCCTCGCTGTGTTCACACAGGAACATAAACCCCTCCCAACAATAAAACACAACATAGATTCCAGACAAATCCAACTCTAAACAGAATCAGCATCTATGGTTTTGTGTTAATAGCGGGTCAGTTGAGATTGGGGAGATGGGGGGTGGAGGGGAAGATGGTGAATGCTGGTGGAAAAGGCAATTAATGCTGTTAAATTACATACCCTCTCAGAATCCAGGTTCTGCTATTGATTCCTGCCACCCAGCAGAAAAATGACAGGCAGGAATTGAAAGCTGGGGAAGCAGAGTCACCAACAACCTACCCATCGCAGATGTGCTGTAACCAAGACCAAATTACAAGACCACCACTTCCTTTTGCACATCTGCTGGATAAAGACCACTTGGGGATATATACCATTTCAAACACTCCAGGGAGGAAGAGGGTATGTAATTAATATGGTATTGGATTGGAGATGCTTTTTATCAGGATCAGACTCTCAGTTATTGGACACCAACAGCAGGTTGATGTTTATATGGAGCACATCCCAGGTACTTTCAGTGTGAGGGAAGTGCACACAACTCAAGAGGGGGTTCTGATTGGATGGGCTGTATGTAACAGTATGGGTTCTGGAGTTATTGATAGAACAAAATAGCAGGAGAGCCTCAGTCAGCTCCTCAAGGTCAGGCATAAAGCACTGACACTGGAGATTACATAATGGTTTTGGAATGGCTTCCTGCATCAATGGCCCTTTGAACCGTATCATCTGATTGTGCAATTGCAGAGTCATAGCAGGTACAAAAACAAATGAGAAGGAGGAGAGTACTTTCAAGCAGGGGTTATATTGGAGACTCAATAATAAGGGAGAGACTTTGGGGGTGCTGGTAAAGCCAGCTGGATGGACAGTAGGGGAATCAGATTGATACCAACCAAAGTTGTTGGGGTCTGATCCTCATTCTGGATGGCGTGGATTGGAGATCGCCCTTCTGCCCTTACCCGAGGTTGGATCTCTCCTCGGGCAGAGAATTAAAGAGGATTTGGACAAAGGGAGAAGGAAGGGAGTCCTCTCACGGCCAAGCCAAGGAACATCCAAATGGAAACAGTGCCACACTGGGAGTGGGACGGAGGGTGGGGAGCAGGCTCGTGGGGGCCAGATCTGCTTGGCCTTGCTCAGGGTGCGTCTGGAATGAGCAAGGGGTCTTCACTTGCCAACCCTCCAGCAGTGCCCAGGAGTCACTGACAAATAGTTTTCTGGATATTCCAGGGAAAGGACTCCAGGTGAGAAAAACGGAGTGAGGGTGTGCCGGAGGGGGATTGGGGTGGGTGGAGGGGTGATATCGTAACCCAATTAATCAGAAATGCCAAGGGACTAAAATGATTCAGAGCTAAGCTGGATCACTGAAGATTTTAAGAAATGTCTCCAAAAAGGTGATGCTAGAGAAACCTGTTTCACTCAGCATGTGGTTAGGGTCTGGAATGTACTGCCTGGAAAGGTAGTGGGGGGCAGGTTTTTGAATTGAAGCATTCAAGATGATGTTAGAGGATGGGTTAGCTCAGTTGGCTGAATGGCTGGTTTGTGATGCAGAGTGACACTAACAACGTGGGTTCAATACCTGCACAGGCTGAAGTTACCATGAAGGACTCTCCTTCTCAACCTCTCCCCTCGCCTGAGGCGTGCTGACCCTCAGGTTAAACCACCACCAGTTGTCTCTCTCTAATGAGAGAGCAGCCCTACAGTCTGGTAAGATGATGGTAACTTTCCCTTTTATCTCAAGAGGGTATTGGATATTTTGTGCGTTTTGGATCGTTAAGGGTGTGCAGGAATATGGGGGTAAAAGGCAGGAGGTTGGCTCTAGGGAGTAGACCCAGTGCTCGCACATTGGGCCAAATGGCTTCATTCTCTGCAATTCGATGACTGCGTTTAGGAATATGGGGAACTGCAGTCGGAAACTATAATGGGTGTGCAGCTTGAAAAGTTTGCAGGTCTGGTAGAAAGGGTCACCAATCCTAATAGCATACCATGTCAGACAGGACAGGAGAGAGGCGCAGAGAGAGAGAGAGAGAGAGAGAATGGGCGATGTGGAATCTGCCAATGGCTTACCGCAGATGCACTGGCCGACAGCACATAATTACGAGGCCTAGTCTCCTGAAAATCGGGTGTCGTCTATAAGGCGGGAAGAGATTTTACACACAAGGAAAAACCATGCACAAAAAAAAACCCCGAAATATCTCTGCAGACAGCGGTTTTAAAAAGAAACGGTCACTTCAAACTCGAAAAGCTCTAAGTAAACCACAAGCTGGAGACGTGCGACAGAACTGGGGGAAACCAGGCGAGTGTCACTGAGGGAGGGATATTATCACAACTAGTCACTCAATCCTCTGTAGATAGGGCTCTTTCCCCAATCAATACAGGGTACACACTCTCACACACACACACACACACACACACACACACACACACACACACACAC